AAGATGTACCAGGATTTGAGACAGCACTATTGGTGGAGGCGGATGAAGAAAGATATAGTTGGGTTTGTAGCTCGGTGCCTCAATTGTCAGCAGGTGAAGTATGAGCACCAGAGACCGGGTGGATTGCTTCAGCAGATAGAGATTCCGGAGTGGAAGTGGGAGCGGATCACCATGGACTTCGTAACTGGGCTCCCACGGACTTTGAGGAAGTTCGATGCCATTTGGGTTATTCTGGATCGGCTGACCAAGTCCGCACATTTCATTCATGTGTGTACCACCTATTCTTCGGAGCGGTTGGCGGAGATTTATATTCGAGAGATTGTCCGACTGCATGGTATTCCAGTTTCTATTATTTCAGATAGCGGTACTCAGTTCACATCACGGTTTTGGAGGGTCGTACAACACAAGTTGGTACTCGGGTGGAGTTGAGTACAACATTTCACCCTCAGACGGACGGACAGTCCAAGCGCACTATTCAAATTCTTGAGGATAGTCTCCGTGCGTGTGTGATTGAGTTTGGAGGGTCTTGGGATCAGTTCTTGCCATTGGCGGAGTGTGCCTACAACAACAGTTATCAGTCCAGCATTCAGATGGCACCGTATGAGGCTTTATATGGTAGGCGGTGTAGATCCCCGGTGGGTTGGTTTGAGCTGGGTGAGGCTAGATTATTGGGCACAGACTTGGTTCAGGATGCTTTGGAGAAGGTTAAGGTGATTCAGGATAGACTCCGTACAGCCCAGTCCAGGCAGAAGACTTACGCGGACCGGAAGGTTCGTGATGTTTCCTACATGGCTGGAGAGCGGGTTCTGTTTCGGGTTTCGCCTATGAAGGGCGTTATGAGATTTGGGAAGAAAGGGAAGTTGAGTCCGAGGTTTATTGGCCCTTTTGAGATATTGCGGCATGTTGGGGAGGTTGCTTATGAGCTTGCCTTACTTCCCAGCTTGGCAGTAATTCATCCGGTATTTCATGTTTCGATGCTCCAGAGGTATCACGGTGACCCGTCGCACATGTTGGATTTCAGTTCAGTCCGGTTGGATAAATATCTATCCTATGTTGAGGAGCCAGTGGCAATATTGGACAGGCAGGTTCGAAAGCTGAGGTCAAAGAACATTGCATCAGTGAAGGTTTAGTGGCGCGGTCAGCCGGTCGAGGAGGCGACCTGGGAGACCGAGCAGGATATGTGCAGCCATTACCCTCATCTTTTCACTACTTCAGGTATGTCTCTATGCTCGTTCGACGACGAACGAATGTTTAAGTGTAGGAGGATGTAACGACCTGGCCGGTCATTTTAAGAATTAACGCCCCAATCCCCTATTAACTGCATTCCCCGTGTTTGTTTCTGCTATTGTGAGTTGCCGGGAGGAATTATTTGGAGTTTCGGAGAGTTTTGGGACACTTAGTCCGTAAATGAGAGTTTAGGTTTTAGAATTTGGACCGTAGTCGGAATAGTGTGAAAACAGCCTCGGAATGGAATTCTGTTGGTTCTGTTAGCTCCGTTGGGTGATTTCAGGCTTAGGGGCGTGTTCGGAATGTGTTTTGGAGGTCCGTAGCTTAATTAGGCTTGAAATGCCAAAAGTTGAATTTTTAAAGTTTCTGGTTCGATACTGAGATTTTGATATCGGGGTCGGAATGGAATTCCGGAAGTTGTTGTAGCTTCGTAATGTTGAATGTGACGTGTGTGCAAAATTTCAGGTCATTCGGACGAGGTTTGATAGACTTTTTGATCGAAAGCGTAAATTGAGAGTTTTTGAAGTTGTAGGCTTGAATTCGATGTTAATTGGTTGATTCGATGTTGTTTGAGGTGTTTTGAAGATTTGTATAAGTTTGGATAGTGGTATATGACTTGTTCATGCTTTTGGTTGTGGTCCCGGGGGCCTCGGGATGATTTCGGATGGTTGACGGAAAGTTAGGAATTTAGAGTTGCAGATGAAGTTTATGGCTGCTGTCATAACCGCATCTGCGCTTGAGAGGCCGCAGGTGCGACTCCCACAGATGCAGAATCAAGCCGCAGAAGCGGCCAAGAGGTGAGTCGCGAGGAGCCGCAGAAGCGGATGCCTAAACGCATCTGCGATGGCGCAGGTGCGAGTGAGCGACCGCAGGTGTGGTCCCAGGCCTTTAAGTGAGAATCGCAGATGCGGTGGGTTAGATCGCAGAAGCGGGACCACAGAGGCGGGTAATGGACCGCAGGTGCGGAATCCCTGGGTCAGAAAGTATATACGGTTTTTTTCGCGAATTTTTGCTAAGTTCTCCATTTTTGAAGACGGGAAGTGAGCTAGGGCAGTGAATTTCAAGGGGAAATCGGAGGTTTTCAGTCAGATAAGCTACCTAAGCTTCAATAATTGATTTTTTGATCATTTTTCCATTGTTAAATCGTGTTATTAGTGGAAATTAAGGAAGAAAATTGAGGGAATAGGGCGTGATATTGGTGAGATTTGAGTGGTGATTTGAGGGACCAATTGAGGTCCGATTTTGGTAATTTTGGTATGCATGAACTCGTGAGAGTGTGAGAATTCTGAATTTATAAGTTTTACCCAATTCGGAGACGTGGGCCCGGGGGGCATTTTGGTCATTTTTCCCAATTTCGGGTATTAGCTTAGAATTAATTAGTGGAATTAGTTACTTGAAGTTTTATTTACATTATGCAATTTGATTTGAATAGATTTGGGCCATTTAGAGTCGAGTACTCGTGGCAAGAGCATGGTTTTGGGTTGATTTTTGAACCGGTTCGAGGTAAGTGGCTTTCCTAACCTTGTGTGAGGGAACTCCCCTTAGGATTTGGTATTTTTGATATTTGAAATGCCTTGTATGTGAGGTGATGAGTGCGTACTCGTGCTAATTGTTGAAAATTCGATTTTCATTAAGTAACTAAAATTGTGTTTCCTTTCCTGTTTATACTACTTGCAATTTAAGCCTGCTGTTAGCTTAGGGACGCATGTCTAATTGACTTAATTACTTATTTTCTCAAGTGCCTTATTTGGATTATGTGCAACATGCTAGGTTAGAAATACCTGTTTTACCTTGGTGTGAATTTTGATTGAATTGAGTATTCTTCGTGTTGCTGCTGTGTATTTACTTTGGGACTACGGGACGGTATCCCGGGAGATCCCCCTGTATGTTTACTTTGGGACTACGGATTTGTATTCCGGGAGATCCCCCTGCACTTTTACATTGGAACTATGGGACTACACCCGGTAGATTCCCCAGTACTAAGTATTTATATTTGGGACTACGGATCGGGATTCTGGTAGATCCCCCTGCACTATGAGTTGGACTACGGGACGGTATACCGGGAGATCCACTGGATATTTATATTTGGGACTACATGACGGTATCCTGGGAGATCCCCGGTTGTTATCTCTGTGTGAGCTGTATTCCTTTCCGTGATTATTTTGTCTCTGTTATAGCTGTTGTTGTTCTTTCTATCCTGTGTTACTTCTTACTGTTGCACTTCACTATACTATTATACCTTTTATTTCATTTAACCTCAGTAGGGCCCTGGCTTTCCTCGTCACTACCCGACCGAGGTTAGGCTTGGCACTTACTGAGTATCGCTGTGGTGTACTCATGCCCTTTCTGCGCATGTTTTTCATGTGCAGATCCAGGTACTCCCACTCAGTCTTATCACCCTTTAGGCGAGGTGCTTTCGTAGAGACTTCGAGGTATCTCTGCCGCGTCCGCAGACCGAGGAGTCCCTTTCTATTCTCTGTACTAGTTTAGCCCTTCTATATTTTCCTTGTTGATAGACATTTCTGGATTTAGAGCTTTTTATGTATCTCTTAGTTTGTGATTCATGGGATTTCGGGTTTTGAGAATTGTTCAATTTTTGAGATCTTGTATTGGTATATGCCGAGCGGCATCTTAAACACTTCTACATTTGTTTATCTTCAGTTTTTATTAGTTTTCCGCATTTTGTTCCTTTTTCCGCAATTGTTAGGCTTACCTAGTCGTAGAGACTAGGTGCCTTCACGACAGTTCACGGAGGGCGAACTTGGGTCGTGACAGCTCTGCTCACATTCCTCCATCCACTGAAACTTCGCATTTTTCTGTGTTAGCTTAGTCAGTGGCGGTGCTATTCTGGAGAAATCCTGCACAAAACGCCTGTAATAGCCTGCTAAGCCTAAAAAGCTTCGAATCTCTATAGGAGAAGTAGGCCTGGGCCATTTCTGCACAGCTTCTGTCTTCTTAGGATCTACCATAATTCCATCTTTGGATACAACATGCCCCATAAATGCTACCGAGTCTAGCCAGAATTCACACTTCGAGAACTTAGCATACAGCCGATGTTCTTGCAATGTGTGCAACATAGTCATGAGATGATCCTCGTGTTCTCCTTGGCTACGAGAATATATCAGGATATCATCTATATATACTATTACAAATCTATCCAGAAACGGCTTGAACACCCTATTCATTTAATCCATGAATGCCACTGGAGCATTAGCTAGTCCGAAAGGCATCACAAGAAACCAATAGTGCTCGTATCGAGCTCTGAAAGCAGTCTTAAAAATATCTTCATCTTTGATTCTAAGCTGATGATAACCAGAACGGAGGTCAATCTTTGAAAAGTGGGCAGCTCCTTGTAACTGATCAAACATGTCGCCTATACGAGGCAAAGGATATTTATTGCGTATTGTTATCTTGTTCAACTGCCTGTAGTCAATGCACATTCTCAGGGATCCGTCTTTCTTCTTTACGAACAGTACTGGTGCACCCCATGGTGATACACCAGGTCTAATAAAACCCTTATCTAACAAATCCTGTAACTGTTGCTTTAGCTCCCTCAACTCTGTTAGTTCCATTTGATATGGGGGTATCGATATGGGCTATGTGTCAGGTCGCAAATCAATACCAAAGTCTATTTCTCGTACTGGAGGAAATCTTGGTAAATCCTCAGGAAATACATCAGAAAATTCTCTCACTACTGGTACATTTTCGATACTAACTGTTTCCTTTCTTGTGTCATTTACAATATCTAAGAGACCCAAGCAACCTATCTTCAGAAGTCGTTGAGGCTTCATAAAAGATACAACTTTGCAAGTCCCTAGAACCTGACCCCCTTTTAGAATAAAATTAGGTTCGTTTGGTATCTCAAACTTGACTATCTTTGCATGACAATCGACGATAGCATAGCAAGAAGATAACCAATCCATTCCCATCAGCATGTCAAAGTAAATCATATTAAGTACAATAAGGTCACCTAAAGTATCTCTACCCTCAATCCGAATCTGACAAGCACGATACACGTATTCAGCTAATAGAGACTCTCCGACAGGAGTAGCAACTAGAAAAGGATCATTCAATAGCTCAGGCTGTCTACTAAACCTCAAAGCAAAGTACGAGGACACATAGGAGTAAGTAGATCCCGGATCAATCAACGCAAGTGCATCAAATGAACAAACAGAAAGAATACCTGTAACCACTGCATTCGAGGCCTGAGCATCCTGTCTAGTAAATGCAAAAACTCTTGCCTGACCTCTGCCAGCATTCCCTGGTCCTTTGATTCATAGTAGCACGGTCAGCAACACCTCGACCTCTATTTCCTGTACCTGTAGCACCTGAAGTATTACGAGTAGTCTGAGTCGGTGCAACTGACTGAATAGAAGCCTGGTTGAAATTTCTCGAAGGCTGAGGGCAATCCCTCAAGTGATGTCCCAACTCCCAACTGGCCACACCGAAAGCACTCTCCAGTTAGAACACGACATTGGCCCAAATGTGATCTACCACAGGTCTGGCAGACTAGAGTAGTGGCATATATCTGCCCAGAATTACGATGTCCAGATGCTGACGGTCCCCTAGTACCCTGTCTATAATGTGGCCTGTATGTGGACTGTGAAGACAAATGTGTCCCTGTTTGAGAACCCTGTTGTTGTTGTCCCTGATTTCCTGCTCTTCGATTTTCACTAAAAACGCCATCGAAAGACCCTCCTGTCTTGGCCTTCTTACGTAAATCACTAGCTGCACGCTCATCACGTCCCTTGTTTTCAATCTTTCTAGCAAGGTCGACTACATTAGAGTAGGATAAAGTCTTCATCTGTGGGGCTACTGCAGTGTATAGACGACCAACCAATCCATCAACAAACCTCTGAACCCGAGCTCCTTCGGTAGGCACTAAGTAAGGAGCATGTATAGCCAGATTACAAAACTTAGTGTTATATGTTGACACATCCATATATGGAGTCTGAACCAATCTCTCAAAGTCTCTAGCATATTTTTGCATCAGGCTATCTGGAAGGAAATGATTCTTGAACAACTTAGTGAACTCGTCCCATGTCAGTGGTGCTGCTCCTGCCGGCCTTCCTAGCAATACAGTTTCATACCATGTGTTAGCCATATCCTCTAGTTTGTATGCTGCGAGCTCCACAGCTCTCTCACTAGAACATCCTAGAGCACATAATGCCTTGAGTGTCCCGTCCAAGAAACTTTGAGGATCTGCTGAATTATCGGAACCTGTGAATTTTGGTGATTTCAATTTCAGGAACTCTTGTAGGGATACTTCCTTATTCCCGAAAGTCTGAGTCTGTGCAAGTGATTGTGTCTGTAAAGTAGCCTGAGGAGTTGAACTTCCACCCTGAGTAGGAACCAATGCCTCTAACACATTCAATAACCTTGCCACTACGTCTGGAGGTAAGGCAATGCTACTACAACAGCTGGCACTGGTAGTGGAGCGTCTGGAACTCCCTGCCCTCGCACTTGATCTGGCATCGCAGCTTGGGGTTGACCCATGTTCCCAACTTCAGATTGAGGAGCAGTCTGTCTTCTAGTTTGATGAACCCCAACTTGACCTCTACCCCGGGTAGCATCACGTCTAGCACCACGTCCAGCAGATGAGGGTGTGTGTGTCCTAGCCATCTGCGAAAGAAATATTCCAAAGTCAATCTCAAGTTATCTCAACGCACGATCAATGAATGAAAGAAGGGAAAACATTCCTAGATGTTCAGTGGCCTCAACATCATAAGTATGGGCGCCTACATACCCATAAACAAGACTCTACTAAACATTGCTCCATGACTCGGGAGTTAAAGCCTGAGCTCTGATACGAACTTTGTCATGACCCAATTTAGGATCATGACCGGCACTTAGGAGCAAGTGCCCCCAAGTAAGCCTCATCGGTATTTTACAGAAAATCGGGCAGAGTTTCCCCTATTTTTGGACCATCCCAAAAATTTCCCTGTCTCAAATCAACAACCAAACGTCCCAATATCATACCAAATAATCGACAACTTATCGATCAACCAAAACGAGTCTCCACCATTACTAATCAACCCACTAACAACCAGAAATACTAATTTATCTCCAACTTTGATAATAAAGAACGATACTCAATATAAAACTATAATAATAAAATAATACTCATGACACTAAAAGAATGACTATGGAGCAACTCTAAGAATTCAAGGAAAAGACCATAAAAATAAATAAAATCTCCGCCCACGCGAACAAGTGCGAAGCTCACCAAGAACTATCAACCTGTGCGCTCTAATTAACGAAATCCTCGCCTGCGTCAACTACTGTCTCTGTAAAAAAAATTAGCGGGGAACGAGCCTCTAGCTCAGTGAGTAATAACACTTAACCACAACCGTTTTTATTGGGGACAAGTCAGAAAACATGCTAGTATCTCAAACAGAAAATAACATAAAAATGCCCTTTCAGAAACAATAAATAATTTTCAGTCTCATCATGTTTTTGGTAGTATAATACAATTAACAATTCAGTAATAAGCTCGGTAACTATTGTATAATATCAATATTCACATTTGGGAGGTTTCAGTGAACGGATCATGTAATTGGTATAACTGTGGACTTCTTCGCAAGAAGTCAAATATAAAGGTAGTCCCTACTCGAAGGAAAACGGTATGCTAGTTCTACCTTCCCACTAGCGAGGGCTATAACTGTACTCTGTAATCGGTAAATACAAGGTGCACCAGGTCTAACTAACCCGCTGTTAGCTACGGGATCCTTCAAAGTATACTCCCATTTATACTTGTCTCTGTATCCGTATATACTCATAGGAAAATATTTTAAAACAATATAGGGCATTTTGGTTCTTATCAAATCATGTAATTTCATTTAGATAACAGCAAATTCAAGTAACGGTAAAACAGATCTAGTGACAACGGAAATATTTAAAGCAACGGTAATTTTCTCAAATAACTATTTCGGTATCATATCGAGTAAAAGACTTGTCCCACATGCAACTCAAAATAATCGGTAACATATTCATATTAAAAATCATGTGTAAATCATGCAAGTTATGAAAACACAAATTGCGGTAAGATTACTACTCACAATACTCGTGCCGAAATACCAAATGCTTCACCTCGAACAATTCGTACAAATTCCTCCAATCAATCTATAATTACATAATATCGATCTCATGTTAATTGACTCATTTATGCTAAATCCATCACTAATTTAGAATACCCAATCATCGGGGTTCATGTTTGAGTCTTAGTTTGGGGATTTATATTTAATCATAAAACTAGCCCATAATTTTATCAATTTCAAAGTATTTAGTATTACTTATTCCTCTAAAATTAGACCTATCAGTGCTTAAACAAAACCTTTATAGCTTTATTATCTTCATAGTAATTGTGTGTGTATATATATATATATATATATGTGTGTGTGTGTGTGTGTTTGTGTGTGTGTGTGTGTGTCCTTATTTAAAATATTGGGGGTATTACACCATATGTCCTTATTTAAAATATTGGGGGTATTACACCCATGGTATCACTTAGTACTTACCTAAACATGGCAAGTACCATCTCTCAGATTTGGTCTGTTCAACTTCAATCGCTAGAATCAGGACAATATCACGTCCATATACATGGAAGAATCAATGATTTCTCGTACCAGTAGACGAGTTTTCAAACATGAAACCCTAATTAGGGTTTGATTTTCGATTTCTTCCCTTACTAGTTACTTTATGATTGCATGTATGTTTTTACTTTCTTTGTTCATATTTGATTGATTTCTTTCTTTATTTACTCGCCTGATTGAACGACTGTTGATACCCAATTTTTTCATATAATATTTTTGAAATGCATATATACCTTTAGAACTACGCATTAGCATCAATTGGCATTTTTCCATAATTTTTACATTTCAAAAATTATTTATCTCAGTATTTTATTCATATAAACTATTACAAAATTGCATCACAAATGTTTTAAAATATTTTTTGATTTAATATTACT